GACCGAGTGAGACTCCAACTCTAAAAAAAAAAATTAAAAAAAAAAAAAAAGGAAAGCTTTCCTATAATCTTGCTCCACAGTAATAACAAATAATAATAGGCCGGTGGTGGCTCAAGCCTGTAATCCCAGCACTTTCAAAGGCCAAGGTGAGAGGATTGCCTGAGTTCAGGGGTTTTAGACCAGCCTGGGCAGAGTGTATATGTATAAATATCATATATTCTGTTCTGTAACTGTTTTTCATTCAACTAATAAGATGTAGAGTATTTTCTTTCTTTTTTTTTTTTTTTGAGTTGGAGTCTCACTCTGTCGCCCAGACTGGAGCGCAGTGGCCGCTCCGGGCCACCGCAGCCTCGACCTGCTGGGCTCCGGCGATCCTTCCGCCTCAGCCTTCCAAGTAGCTGGAATTACAGGCATGCGCTACGACGCCCGGCTGATTTTTTGATTTATTGTAGAGAAGAGATCTCGCTGCCCAGGCGGGTCTCGAACCCGCGGGCTCAGGCAATCCACCCACCTCAGCCTCCCAAAAGCGTGGGATTATAGGCTGAGCCACCGAGCCCGGCTGATGTAGTATTTTCATGAAGCATGGTTTTCTTTGATAATGGAAGCATGATTTAAACAATCCCCGCTGGTGAACATGAGGATCCATCTCAAGCTTTGGCTTTTACAAATAATGTTGCAATAAACAGACACTTGTCCAATTATTGTCTTCAAAGAAATTCTGAATCAAAGTAGAAACTCCACTTTGTATTCTAAACATATCATCAGATTGCCTTCCAGAGACATTATACTAATCTGTACTCCCACCAGTTGTGAAGTTCCATCCTAGCACACATTGGTCATTATCATTATTTTATCTGACAAGTGAAAAATTACTTTTGTTTCTATTTCTTTGATAATCTGTGAAGTTGAACATCTTTTACAAATAATTTTTGCCATTAGTATTTAGTATGAGTTGCTCATTCATGTTTTGTCCACTTTTCTCTTGGATTATTTGTCTTTTTCTTAATGACTTTCTGAATTCAGGTGGATTCTTGCCCTGATCTCTGCTAAAAATATTGCAAATATTACTACCAGTTTGCTTTTTGTTTGCATTTTCAATTTTTCAAACTTAACTTTTCATAGTACATTTTTCTTTTTCTTTTTTGGAGTCTCACTGTGTTGTCCAGGCTGGAGTACAGTGCCATGATCTTGGCTGAGCACAGCCTCAAACTCCTGGGCTCAATTGGTTCTCCCACTTCTGCCTCCCAAGTAGCTGGAACTATGGGCGCACACCACCATGCTTGGCTAATTTTTCAATTTTTTTTTGTAGAGATGGAGTCTCACTTTGTTCCCCAGGCTGGTCTCAAGCTCCTGGCTTCAAGCAATCTTCCTGCCTTAGCTTTCCAAAGAGCTGGGATTACAGGTATAAGACAACATGCCCAGTTGTGGTACATTTTTCTATAGATAAGTATTTATTTGTTTGCTTGTTTGTTTGAGTTGGAGTCTCACGCTGTCGCCCAGGCTGGAGTGCAGTGGCACACTCACAGCCACCACAGCCTCGACCTGCTGGGTTAAGGTGATCCTTCTATCTCAGCCTTCCAAGTAGTTGGAACTACAGGTGCCATCATGCCTGGCTAATTTTTTGATTTATTGTAGAGATGAGTTCTCACTAAGTTGCCCGGGCTGGTCTCAAACCTGCAGGCTCAGGCAATCCTCTCACCTCAGCCTCCCAAAGTGCTGGGATTATAGGCGTGAGCCACTGTGCCTGGCCAAGAAATATTTAATTTTTAAGTACGCTTATTAATCTTTTGTTAATTCTGGGTTTATAACATCTTTATGAAATCTTTTTCTAGGCCAAGATTTTAAAGATAATCTGCAATATTTTCTTCTGGTAGTTTCATGGGTTTTTTTTAGTTGGAGTCTTACTCTGTCAACCAGGCTGGAGGGCAGTAGCACACTCCTGGCCACTGCAGCCTTGACCTGCTGGGCTCAGGTGATCCTTCCGCCTCAGCCTTCCATACAGGCACGTGCCACCATGTCCTGCTAATGCTTTGATTTATTGTAGAGATGATGTCTCGTCAAGTTGCCCAGGCTAGTCTTGAACCTGCGGGCTCAGGCAATCCTCTCACCTCGGTCTCCCAAAGTGCTGGGATTATAGGCATGAGTCACCACACCTGGCCAAGAAATATTTAATTTTTAAGTGTGTTTATCAATCTTTTGTGAATTCTGGGTTTATATCATCTTTATGAAATCTTTATGCCAAGATTTTATTTTATTATTTTGAGTTGGAGTCTCACTCTGTTGCCCACACTGGAGTGCAGTGGCCGCTCCCGGTCACCGCAGCCTCGACCCGCTGGGTTTCAGCGATCCTTCCGCCTCAGCCTTCCAAGTAGCTGGAACTACAGGTGCGCACTACCACGCCTGGCTAATTTTTGATTTATTGTGGAGATGAGGTCTCGCCAATTTTGATTTATTGTGGAGATGAGGTCTCGAACCCACGGGCTCAGGGAATCCACTCACCTCAGCATCCCAAGGCGTGGGATTATTATAGGCTGAGCCACCGAGACCGGCTATGCCAAGATTTTAAAGATAATCTGCTATATTTTCTTCTGATAGTTTCATGGTTTTATTTTTAATGGTATTTATGCTTTGGAATAATATACAGCTCTGATTCCATCTTATTATACGAATGGTTGAATCAATAGCTAATATTTTCTTCATTGTTAAATATATATTATGAGCCATAAATAAGATTTTATTTACTCCATTATCTGTTTACCTGAGATGACCCCATTCAACTACTATTTTATTTCTTCTGCTAATCTGTCCTACAAATAAATATTAGTATAAAACCAGTGCTCTGATATGATCAAATTTCAGCAGTTGGTATTGTCATGTTTTATGTCATGTGGTTAAAAAATAAATCTGTATATTCTTTTCTTAGACATACAATCTGAAGGAGAAAAAAAATGCCAGTCCAGATTTAGGAATCCAAATTTGGATTATGGACACACACCCACACACACACACGTGCCCAGAGATTAAAAACTATTTAGACTTCACACTTACCTTCCAGACCAAATCCAGGTGTCTAGGTTTAGATAGTGTAAATCATTCATCCTAGTTTGCTAAAATAAAAATGTGTTAAATTGGTCAATGTTTTACATCTTTTATCGGCAAAAATTCTGGTTTTAAGTAAGTTCAGATTAAAAATAGACAGTGTCTATTTTACTTAATACTGAAATACTGAAAAACAATGTTAAGTATTAATAAAATTAGCACAGTGTTCTCAAATTAGTATGTCAAAGGGGAAAGGAAGAAATGAATTTAAAGTAACAAGATTTAGATGATAAAAATTAAACTTTGCTGATACTGCACTGAAGTGAAGGATTCTCCTCATTGAAATATGACTTATAATTACCTGTGATTGCTCATATATGGTCTGTTTCAGAAATAGGAGATAAGTTATTCTTGAATGCCATTTTTAATCTCTCAATTATTTTGAATGTTCAATTATTCCACAAAATCTGACAATAAGTTTTATAAGAAGCACTGCACATAAAAATACCACTTCCATTAAAAACACTAACCAAAACGCGTCCGCCAAAGATATAACCTTTATTTCCAAGAACTGCACACGTATGCGCGGCTCGTGGCTGTGGTGGAACTCCACCCTGCAAGCAGAGATCAGAACAGATTGGAAAGACATGAAATAGCTATATTAAAGTCACATTCCTATGCTCAGTATGAGAAATATTTAACCACTATGTGACTATTACCTATGTAATTCAATTAAAACCCCTGATACACACATACATTTTAAATAGTAATAATTGCAGACAAATACTTTTCTTTAAAATAAAATTTATTCTTCCTTATCTTTACTTTTTATAGTGTTTTTCTTTTTCTTTTTTTTTTTTTGAGTTAGAGTCTCACTCTGTCGCCCAGACTGGAGTGCAGTGGCCGCTCCCAGCCCCTGCAGCCTCGACCTGCTGGGCTCTGGCAATCCTTCCGCCTCAGCCTTCCAAGTAACTGGAACTACAGGCGTGTGCTACCATGCCTGGCTAATTTTTTATTTATTGTAGAGATGAGGTCTCGTGAATTTGCTCAGGCTGGTCTTGAACCCCTGAATTCATGCAATCCTCTCACCATGGCCTCCCAAAGTGCTGGGATTACAGGTTTGAGCCACCATGCCTGGCTAAATACTGTATAAGGATTCTTAAAATCAAATTTTAAAAATTCGAGGCTGGGCTCAGTGGCTCAGACTATAATCCCAGTACTTTGGGAGGTCGAGGCGAGAAGACTGCATAAATTCAGGGGTTCAAGACAAGCCTGAGCAACTTGGCAAGACCGCATCCCTACAATAAATCAAAAATTAGCTGGGTGTTGTAGCACGTGCCTGTAGTTCCAGCTACTTGGAAGGCTGAGGTAGAAGGATTGCAGGAGCCCAGAAGGTTGAGGCTGCAGTGGCCAGGAGCGTGCCACTGCCCTCCAGCCTGGGTGACAGAGTGAGACTCCAATTCAAAAACAAACAAACAAACAAACAAAATTCCAAAGAAAGAAAAAATTCTCTCTCTCCCTATCCTTCTGTCTCTCTCTATTACACACATACACACACACACACTATACAGAGTTAATATTAGGAGTGAGCAGTGTACAATGTGATGATCTCAGAAACTCTATAAAACTAAATATTGCTCCAAAATTATTGGTGCCTCAAATTCACAACAAGAACTTCACTCTTGACATGGGCTTCATCTCTTACTAAACTCCTTTTTTTTTTTGAGTTGGAGTCTCACTGTTACCCAGGCTGGAGTGCAGTGGAACGTTCATGGCCACTGCAGCCTCGACCTGCTGGGTTCAGGCGATCCTCTCTCCTCAGCCTTCCAAGTAGGTACATGCCACCACACCCGGTTAACTTTTTGATTTATTGTAGTAACGAGGTCTCACCAAGTTGCCCAGGCTGGTCTCGAACCCCTGGGCTCAGGGAATCCTCTTGCCTCAGCCTGCTAAAGTGCTGGGATTACAGGCGTGAGCTACCGTGTCCATCTTAAAACTCTTAATATTAACTGATAATATTTGTCTATATTTCATTTTGAATAAATATAGCACATCACTTCTTTAAAGAAGTTTTTAATTGGTGGGAAAAGAGAGAGTATAACAGGGAGATGAATGAATAAGATTTAAAGGAAGAGTCTTCTTTGAAATTTCCATTTTTTCATGGTGAACTTCTTTACATATGCATTTCGTTCCAAGTGCTGAAAGAACTCAACATTTTCAGCTCATTATCTACTAATGAACGTGGGCATAGGAAATTTAAGCTCTGTATCCAATATCATCACTTCCTAAATTTTTCAGGCTTAAATAACTGAGGTCAACTTGGTAAGAAATAATCCAGATATTACCTACACAACACTTAAATAAATAAGAACTATTTAAGAATTTTGGTGCCTAGACCTTCTAGCCACACAAAATTTTTATTAGTACCACATGCCTAATGAAAATTTTGGAAGAATTTTTCTACTATATACGTATGCCTCACTGATCTTTCTAAAATGGTATTCTGAGCTTGTCCTTCAGAGGATTCCCATTTGCCCTCATGATAAAATTGGAACTCCTTTCCGTGTTAGTACATGGTCATTTCATGACCTTTTCTTAAACTCATTGCAGGAAACTTTTTTTTTTTTTTGAGTCAGGGTCTCACTGTTGCCCAGGTTGGAGTGCCCTTTCATCTCAGCTTTCCAAGTAGCTGGAACTACCGGCGTGCCCCACCATGCCTGGCTAATTTTTTGATTTATTGTAGAGACAAGGTCTTACTGTGTTACCCAGACTGGTCTCGAACCCCTGGGCTCAGGTAATTCTCTCACCTTTGCCTCTCAAGAGTGCTGGGATAACAGGCATGAGCTGCCATGCCTAGCTTCATTACAGAAAACTTCCTTATTTCTTTAGTTATTTTGAACTACTTACCTACTTTGTAGTGTGTATACTTATTATAAAATAAATATTTAATTTTTCCTTTTTTTTTCTGAGTTGGAGTCTCACTCTGTTGCCCAGGCTGGAGTTGAAGTACAATGGTGCCAACACAGCCACCACAGCTTCAACCTATTGAGCTCAAGTGATCCTTCCACCTCAGGTTTCCACTGGAAGGTTGGAACCACACCTGGCTAATTTTCTGATTTATTGTAGAGAAAGTTCTCACCAGGGTATCCAGGCTGGTCTTGAACCCCTGGGCTCAGACAATCCTCTCATCTCTGCCTCCCAAAGTGCTGGGATTACAGGTGTAAGCCACTGTGCCCGAACTTTTCTTGTTTATCAAATACAATTAATAGCCAACCATAAGCTTTTGAGAAAAATGAGTCTATGTAGTTCAAACAAAAACTAAGACATGGCATTTGTATCAGCCTGCAAGCCTAACTGCATGAGTAATGTACAGTGTTTCTTGGGTTGTTGAAATATGAATATATGAAATATGAAATACTGAAAATATGAAAATAACTCAAAGATTACTATTTCCTATAGGGGCAAAATTCGCAGGTAGGCACACTGTCATTATCCCATTTTACAGATGAAACACTGGAAGGGTTTATCTTAAGTACACAGCTCTTTTATGACAATTATAATGCAAACTCAGTTTTCAACTTCAACACCAATAATCGCTATACTCTAACATGCTGCCTGAAAGAACAGACCAAGAGCGGGAATGCATTTTTTAAACCTTGTTCCTAAACTTTAATACAATGATAAAAAAGTAGAAGCTATGTTTTGGAGAAATGCATACTTTAGATAAAGATTAACTTTGCCGACTTTGTCTTTTTTCAGAAACAGACTTCCTGGTGCCAGGTATCAGAGGTATCTCAGAGCGGCAATCAAACTTGCCTAGAGTAAAGGGAATTTACAAGGCTAAGACATACATTGGGCAAGAATTGTAGAAGTCACGAAACTTATAATTACAAAAGTTATGACCATTCAGAGGGAGAGCAGGTGGGAATTCGATCTTCCAGTAAACTGGGTGCTATCTACAGGGAAGTCAGGGATCCCCTGAAGCTACCCACTGGGAATGCATGGGAGATAGGAGGAGGTGCACCCTCCATTAGCTCTAAGGAATGTCATTCAGGAAGGTGCAGGAGCACTGGGATCCTTGTCATGCCCTTCTCTAGCGGCTATGATAATCACCTGATGTCAATACCTGTGCTTGCCTGCTCATTCATGCAGGCCACCACCCAATCACCTTAATGATCTTCCCCCATCAAGGGGAATGGTTAAAAGGACTCAACCACAAGCAGCCGGTGGCCATTGCCTTGCTAGACTCTGGTGTAGCCATGTGCTTTTCAAGCTATGGTTGTCACCATGCTTCCTGGCTTTGGCCCCCTCCCCCACCTTGGGGAAGTGAATCTTCTCTCTCCCTTCTCTAATTTACTTTTAAATAAACTTTTCTTTCTTTACCTCTTTGTGTGTTGCAATTCTTTGCATTACTCGGATCTCTGGGTTGCAAGTGCACACCTCCAGCTTGCTGGCTCTGGAGGTGCTGTGCCTCTCTCTCGCCATCTATCCACCCATACCCTATCTATGCCCTAACACTGCCTTGCCATCTGTCGCAGTTATTTGGGAATAATGAAGTAATTAAAGAATATCTTGGTCAGGCTTGGTGCCTCAGTCCGTAATCCGAGCATTCTGGGAGGCCAAGGCAAGTGGACTGCCTGAGCCTGCGGGTTCGAGGTCAGCCCAGGCAATTTGGCGAGACCTTGTCTCTACAGTAAAAATCAAAAGAAATCAGCCAGGTGTGGTAGCGCACACCTGTATTTCCAGATGCTTGCAAGGCTGAGGCGGAAGGATTGCCAAGAGCCCAGCAGGTCGACGCTGGGGTGGCCGTGAGACTCCAACTCAAAAAAAAAAAAAAAAAAAGAATATCTCTAAAAAAAATAAAGAGAATAGATGCCAGTTATAACCATGTCAGAAAAACTTTCAGATATAAACAACATACAAATTTATTTGTTAGCCAGGCGTGGCAGCACGCGCCTGTAGTTCCGGCTACTTAGAAGGCTGAGGCGGAAGGATTGCCGGATCCCAGCAGGTCGAGGCTGTGGTGGCTGGGAGCGTGCCACTGCACTCCAGTCTGGGCAACAGAGTGAGACTCCAACTCAAAAATATATATATATATATATATATTTGAAGACACCATAAGGAAAATAACAGTGAAAATATTGTCGGCCGAGCATGGTGGCTCACGCTTATAATCCCAGCATTTTGGAAGGTTGAAGTGAAAGGATTGCCTGAGCCTGTGGGTTGCAGACAAGTCTAGGCAACTTGGCGAGACCTCATCTCTACAATAAATAAAAAATTAGCCAGGTGTGGTGGCATGTGCCTGTAGTTCCAGCTACTTGGAGGGGTGACATGGAAGGATCACCTGAGCCCAGCAGGTCAAGGCTGTGGTGGCCCGTGAGTGTGCCACTGCACTCCAGCCTGGGCAACAGAGTGAGACTCCAACTAAAAAAAAAACGACAGATCTTATTTAAAATTCAAATGCTCAACTGACCAGAAAGTCAATTGATAAGAATAAATAAATATCAGTTAATTAGTTCTAAAGTTAGAGATACAGTGAAGAGAACAAAAGAGCACTGGAAACCTAAAATTCATTGCCTGGAAAAACAGGATGCTCAAACTTTGTAACACTTGCTGTTTTATATAGAACTTTCCATCACTTCTATCAATAGAAATTGGACTGTAAGGAGTTTTAGTCATGCATGCATGTTAGGAAACAACGCTGGTTTTGCCTACTTAATATCCCACTCTGACTGGTACTGGTGAGCTTGTCAGTCACAATACCCTGCTCTGCCTAGAGATGAACCCATGACACAAGACTAGCCAATCATCCTGGTAGCAGCAGGTACTGACCAAAAGAGTGGGATAGTGCCCTGGTAGAGGCAGAATCCTTTTCAAACACTGATATATAGACTTTGAGAGAGTACAACGGAAAGAGCTGCTTGGGTAGCCAGGGCCATATTCCCGCCTATATGAGCCAGTGGATCTGCCATAGACAGAATGAAGCAAACACACCAAGAAAAACAGGGAAAAGCAGACAGAGAGATGGAAAGCATTGTGATAGTGCTGAGTAACTTGCTCCAGTTCCTAAGGCCTAGTCCCCAAAACTCTTCCTTCTTCTGTCAGCCACTCTAACATGCTTTCCAGCTATGTGAAAATTCATTATTGCTTAAACTGACTTGAAGTTGTATTTGTCACTAGCAAATGAAAGCGTATTGAGAGGGTATTTTTGTCATGCTATAATTGCGTGTAGATCTGAATTCAAGTGTTTGTGAAACATGGACTTTTAAAAATAGACTTTGTTATGATAGGACTTTTAAAAAAAGCCTTCATTAAATCAAAACATGACACTTACAGATATGATGATGGCACCCCATTCAAAGATTTTTTTTCTAGAAAACCTTAGCTGACCTAGGTCGGGCATGGTGGCTCATGCCTGTAATCCTAAGGTGGGAGGACTGCTTGAGGAAAGGAGTTCAAGACCAGCCTAGGCAATATAGTGAGACATCATCTCTACAAAAAAAAAAGAAGAGTAGGTGGGACTCTAGGCAGGAGTTACTGTCCAGGGCTCTGATGGCTTTTTTTAAAAAATGGTGTTGGTGACAGTCCTCAAGAGTACTACTGTGATTACAAACCCATTTACAAAAAATTCTAATAACTTAGTAAAAATATGGTTTTTAAAGTATCAATAAATATATGAACATAAAGATAACTTTTTTATAACACTTACCTTAATTTTTGGTTGAAACCAAGCATGTGTCTTCGTGTCAAATACATGGACGTCATTATGCCATCCCCAGAATATCTGCTCTTCCTAAAACAGAAATTTTTAAGAATATTTAGAAGCTTGTTGTAAATTTTATATTATTGTTACAGTTTTGTCACATTTACTGGTAAAATAATAGATATCTTTACAAAAACAGAGTTAAGTGCTACCATAGTCACAGAACTAATGCAGACACTGGTGCCTCACAAAATGTGGCCCCAGGCAAGTGGCACATCACCTGACAACTTGTCTTCCCATAGTATTGCTTGCAGTGAATCACAATTTTACTTGCTGACAATCTTTCAATTTTTCAAAGGATCATCTCTTTCAAAATCGCAGAGAACAGGCCAGGCGCAGTGGCTCAAGCCTGTAATCCCAGCACTTTGGGAGGCCAAGGCGAGAGGATTGCCTGAGCCCACGGGTTTGAGACCAGCCTAGACAACATGGTGAGACCTCATCTCTACAATAAATCAAAAAAATTAGCCAGGCGTGGTAGTGCACACCTGTAGATCCAGTTACTTGGAAGGCTGAAGCCAGAGCCCAGCAGGTCGACGCTGGGGTGGCCACGAGCATGCTACTGCACTCCAGCCTGGGCAACAGGGTGAGACTCCAACTCAAAAAAAAAAAGTTATATTCCTGAAAATTATCAGTAATACTTTAAATAGCAAACCTTTAAAGACATTTCTAAAACAGAAAGCCATGTAGAAACATGGAGAATTTTTAAAAATACCCACAAGGAGGCTGGGCTCGGTGGCTCAGCTTGCAATCCCAGTACTTTCGGAGGCTGAGGCAAGTGGACTGCCTGAGCACGCGGGTTCGAGACCCACCTGGGCAACTTGGCGAGACCTCGTCTATACAATAAATCAAAAATTAGGCTGGGCTCGGTGGCTCAGCCTGTAATCCCAGCACTTTGGGAGGCTGAGGTGAGCAGACTTCCTGAGCCCACGGATTTGAGATCCGCCTGGGCAACTTGGCAAGACCTCGTCTCTACAATAAATCAAAAATTAGCTGAGCATGGTAGCACGTGCCTGTAGTTCCGGTTACTGGGAAGGCTGAGGTGGAAGGATCACCAGAGCCGAGCAGGGCGAGGCTGTGGTGGCCAGTAGCGTGCCACTGCACTCCATTCTGGGCGACAAGAGTGAGACTCCAACTCAAAAATAAAATAAAATAAAATAAAAATAAAAAATTAGTTGGGCGTGATAGCACATGCCTGTAGTTCTGGCTACTTGGAAGGCTGATAAGAAAGGATAGCCAGAGCCCAGCAGGTCAACGCTGGGGTGACCGTGAGTGTGCAACAGACTCCAGCCTGGGCTGGAGTAAGACTCCAACTCAACAACAGCAACAAAAAATACCCACATACAAAGTAATATACATTAAATGTATATATATACATTAATAATGTACAATAATAATATATGCTAGTATAAAGTAAAGCTAAAAAAGACTGTGTATCTTATGGTAGGAACAACAGGTTTTTCTTGGTTTTTGTTTTGTTTTCTTTCTTTTTGTAGAGACGAGGTCTGAACTCCTGAGTTCAAGTGATCCTCTTACCTCAGCCTCCTAAAGCACTGGAATTACAGGTGTGAGCCACTGGACCCAGCCTCAATAGTTTTTACAAAGATCTTTTAACATATTTTATTTTTATAACTCATGACCTCTTTCATTAATAATGATTTATTCTCTAATCAGTAAGAACAAATAGAAAAATTAGTATCTCTACCAACTCACTCACTCTTATTTGAAGGCCAGTCTGAGCTATGAATAATACTAATGGACATATCTAAAAAGAGGTATATGTCAACAATAGCAATTGTGTTAAAAAAAATGTGGTACATATACACGATGGAATACTACGCAGCCATAAAAAAGAACAAAATCATGAATTTCGCAGCAACCTGGATGGAACTTGAGTCTATAATACTGAGTGACCTCTCACAGAAACAAAGATCCGAGTATCACATGTTCTCACTCATATAATGGACCTTGAAAAACATCCAATGTAATACTATAAGAAAATGACTGACAGTACTGGGAAGCTATGGGGGGGAGGGGGATGGGATTAACAGTAGCAAATATCTGTCTGGGGAAGGGGAAACACCTCTTATCAACAGGGTGCCTGAATGAAACGTAATTGTACACCTAACCCTTAACTGTACCCCACAAAGCCATAATAAAAAATATTGATTTAAAAAAAAAACAATAGCAATTGTGGTTAAATATGAATGAAATTTTTCCAAGTTGTGCTAAAGCTTCTACTTGTCTAACAGAAGCATGTATAAGTGATTAATGATGTAAGAAAAAAAATTATTGTGCCAATAGCCATGAAGGTTAATACCACTTTGCCAACTGGATCCAAATCTAAAAGATAGAAAACAGCCGGGCTCGGTGGCTCAGCCTGTAATCCTGCGCCTTGGGAGGCTGAGGTGAGTGGATTGCCTGAGCCCGCGGGTTTCAAGACCCGCCTGGGCAACTTGGCGAGACTTCATCTCTACAATAAATCCAAAAAAAAATTAGCTGGGCGTGGTAGCGCGCGCCTCTAGTTCCAGCTACTTGGAAGGCTGAGGTGGAATGATCGCCGGAGCCCAGCAGGTCGAGTCTGTGGTGGCCGGAAGCGGCCACTGCACTCCAGTCTGGGTGACAGAGTGAGACTCCAACTCAAAAAAAAAAAAAAAAAAAAGATAGGAAACACATTTTATCTCACAGTGTCAAGTACAGCAAAGTGGTAGCTCCAAAAATGAGAAAACCTAGGCTTATTATTTCTAAGACTTCAAGGCTATACTGAATTGGAGGAAAATGTAAACAATGGTTACTCTCTTACCCAAGATGCATCATGAACATCAAAACATTCTTGAAGTTCACTGTGTCTCCTACACCCATAACCACCAAAATATATTAATCTGAAAAATAAATACAGAAAGACACACTTTAAGAGTTCAGTTTCTGGTCTGCTCATAGAAAGCTGAAAAGATCTTTTTACCCTAACAACCTAAACAAATAAACTATAAAATCACAGTTAAAAAAAAAAAATCAAAGAGCTAGAGGAACAAAGAAACCTAAATGAACCAATTCCAAAACGTGATGAGCTCTGTTAGGAAAAAGGAGACCCACAACTGCTTTCATCCCGGATGCAATAACAAGAGGCGGAGGAATCCACAAACAAGGTTTATACAGCAAAACCACTCAAATTGTTAACAGCCCCCTGTATGCTGGCATGGTAAATTAGAATCTTAAGAAGCCTAACCCCTCTTTCTCTCTCTCCAATTTACTTTCTAAATAAACTATAATTTCTAATCTTAAAAAAAAAAGTCATTGCCTTGCTAAGCTATGGTGTGGCCATATGCTCTCTGAACTATGGCCAGGTCATATTTCCTTAAGCTTTGGTCCCTTCCCTTCCCTTGGGGAGGTGAACCCCCCCCGCCAATTAACTTTCTAAATAAACTATATTTTCTAATCTAAAAGCAAAAAAACAAAAAAAAACCTAGCCAGAGAGGAAGCTTGAACCCTCTCCGCAACTCTTGCCCATAGTCTTCAAGGAGGCCTCTGGGTCAGCTGAAGTCAGAGGAGCGCTGAGGGTATTCCCCTGAGACAATCTGAACTTTCATGACAAAAGTTTGGCATCAGGATAGAAGATCTGAAAGAAACAGCTCAGATGCATGCCAAGCCTTCATACCATACGGGGCAGCTACCCTCCAAAGGCCAGGGAAAGATGCAAGGCTGAAAGAGGGCTTCCTGGGTGCAGAAAGCGAGAAGTGGAATCAGAGTAAAGATAACTCCTTAGAGTCCCAACTGTCTACCTACTGATTGGGCTATCAACATAAAGAGGTCAGCCACAGTTTTGAGAGGTAAGAACACAGTTGTGAAGCACCTGAAAATCTCTAGAACATCTCCAGTGCTCAAATATGGGTCCCTAGTAAAGTATTATCTCAAAATATTAGAAAGCAGTAGTAAAATTAAATCTAATTAAAGCTACAACAGGCCAGGCTCAGTGGCTCAGCCTGTAATTCCAGTACTTTGGGAGGCCAAGATGTGGATTGACTGAGTCTGAGGGTTTGAGATCAGCCTGGGCAACTTGGTGAGACATCATCTCTACAATAAATAAAAAATTAGCTGGGCATGGTAACGCACGCCTGTAGTTCCGGCTACTTGGAAGGCCGAAATGCTTGGATTACAGGTATGAGCCTCCATGCCCAGCACACTCCAAATAAGAAAAATACAAAGGAAACTACACCCAGAGGTATAGTTAATCACATTACTGAAGAGCAAAAATAAAGAGCAGATAAAGAAAAAAATAAAACATACTATATAGAGAAACCAAAATACAAATGAGAGTGAATTTGTCACAAAAAAATAAGGGCCAAAAGCAATGTAATAAAATCCTTAAAGTGCTGAAAAAAAAAATCCTGTCAACCCAACTGGTCAAAGAAGGACTTACAGATGAAATCAGAAATTACTTAGAAATGAATGAAAATGAAAACATAAGATAACAAAACTTATGGGTTGCAGTGAAGGCAGAGCTCAAAGGATAATTTATAGCTGTAAATACCTACATCAAAAATAGAAAAATCTAAAAAAAAAGAAAAATCTCAAATTAATAGCATAATTGTACAAATTAAGTAACTAGAAAGACAAGAGCAAACTAAACCCATAAAGAGCAAAAGGAAGAAAATGACAGAGATTGGAAGGGAGATAAAATAGTGAATAGAAAAGCAAAAAAACAAAAGTTGGTTCTTTGAAAAGATCAGTGGAAATCTGCCAGGGGAGAGGGGAGCACACCCCATCAACAAGGGCACCTGCATAATGAACATTTGTACACCTAATCCTGAATTGTACCCCACATATTTAAAATTTAAAAAAAATTTTTAAAAGAAAAGATCAACAAAATTCACAAATGCTTACTTAGCTGGATTGATCAAAAAGAGAGAGAGAGAGAGAAGATTCAAATTACTAAAATCAGAAATGAAGAGGAAATATTACTACTGACATTAAAGAAATAAAAAGGATTATAAAAGAATACTATAGGCCGGGTATGGTCTATACAGTTTCAAGCCTGTAATCCCGGCACTTTGAGAGACTGAGGTGAGGGGACTGCCTGAGCCTACAGGTTCAAGAACAGCCTGGGCAACTTAGAGAGACCTCATCTCTACAATAAATCAAAAAAATTAGTCAGGCATGGTAGCACGTGCCTGTAGTTCCGGCTACTTGAAAGGCTGAGATGGAAGGATCGCCTGAGCCCAGCAGGTCGATGCTGGCTGTAAGCATGCCACTACACTCTAGGCTGGGTGACAGAGTGAGGCTCCAACTCAAAAAAAAAAAAAAAAACAACCAAAAAAGAATATTATAAAGAACTGTGTGATAACCTAGATGTAAGAAAAATTCCTGGAAAGACACAAACTATAAAATATGCCTCAAGAAGAAACAGAAAACCCAAATACACCGCTAACAAGTAAGGAGATTGAATTAATAATCAAAATCCTCCTAACAAAGAAAAGCCCAAGACCAGATGGCTTCACTGGTGAATTCTATCAAACATTTACAACAGAATTTACATCAATCTTTCTCAAACTCTTCTAAAAAATTAAAGAGGAGGGAATACTTCCTAACTTAGTCTATGAGGCTAGTATTACCCTGATACCAAAGGCAGACAAAGATACTATAAGAAAATATACTATATCTGATTAAGAATTATTATCCAAAATATATAAAGAATTCCTGCAACTCAACATCAAAAAGACAGACAATCCAAATTTTTAAATGGGCAGAGGACTTGAATAGACATTTCTCCAGAGAAGGTATAAAAATGTCCAATAAGCACATTGAAAGATAACTAATATCATTAGTCACTAGGAAAATACAAATCAAAATTACACAGAAATACCACTTCACACCTACTTAGATGATGATCATTAAAAAAAAAAAAACTGGCCAGGTGCAGTTGCTCAGCCTGTAATCCTAGCACTTTGGAAGACCAAGGAGAGAGGATTGCCTGAGCCTGGGGGTTAGAGACCAGCCCGGGCAACTTGGTGAGACCTCATCTCTACAATAAATCACAAAAACTTGCCATGTGTGGTGGCATGTGTCTGTAGTTCCAGTTACTTGGAAGGCTGAGGCGGAAGGATCACTGGAGCCCAGCAGGTCGAGGCTGCAGTGGCTGTTAGCGTGTCGCTGCACTCCAGCCTGGGCAACAAGTGAGACTCCAACTCAAAAAAATATATACATTTTTTTTTGACTCCAACTCAGAGAAAAAAAACCAAAATAGTTGTCTCCATGTTTATTCTATGATATGGCTCTTATGAGGGTTTGGAACTGTCATTACCATAGGTGTCAAAATAAGTTTAAAGTTATATCTTGAAAAAATTCATACTTTCGATTTTTCTCTATTTTAGCCAAAAGTTGTTATCCTTACTTAAGTGCAGTTGCTGCATTACCTGTCTTTATAGACCCAGCAGGAAAGTTTATCACGTGGCGTGGGTGGTTGTCCTTCAAAGTTGGTGATTTTTTCCCAAATGTAGGTTCCATCTCTTGTTCGCAAATTAACAAAATAAAGCTTTTGAAAGATAAGAACACTATTAGCAGACAGGGTAGTTAAAAATTAAATCTATATCAGAGGGAGTTGTGATGCAAAAATTAAGACGATTACTTTTTTCTTTATAATAGGTAAAGTTTTTACTTATTAAAACTTAAAAATTGTAGAATCAATAAAAATGAGATAGTGTTTTAGAAGCAAGAATAATATATAAAACATAATAAAATGGGTCTTTTTCATCTACTCTTGCCCAGTGAATATCAATTAAATCTGTAGTTAATTCTGAAGCAGAAAGGCATGGAAGAAGCAAAGAACAAGACTGTTGTACCTTCAATCTATCTTAAAAGCTTTATAATTATACATTTAAGATTTTCTCGGGGGGGGGCACACCTCATCAACAAGGGTACATGCATAATGAACATTTGTATAACCCTGAATTGTACCACACATCTTTAAAATAACAAATAATTTTAAAATTTTTAAAATTTCTATTTATATCTTATTTTTAAAATATTTGTAACTTGAGATGAAATGACACATTAAATATTATATTTGTGACACTCCTGAATAAAAAGAAAGCATTACTCGATTGCTGTATCCTTTGTCATCATATCCTCCAAAAATGTACAACTTTCCATTAATGCAAGCACCACAGCTTCCTGACATGGATGTAGGGAGCTCTCCTTCCATGAGGTGCATTCTCCTGCGGTGAGAATAACATGGAATCCTGTAACTTTCCAGAAAGACAAGTTAAAATTCTCTTTGAACTTCATGAGTACTTATTTCAGTGAAAATTGTCACTGCCAATTACAATTACAATGCAATGATAGCCAATACTGTAAAAATTCTAAGAAAATTCAAGATAAAGACTTTTCAACCTGCTAGGGAAAAAAAAAATCACAAAAATTTCACACACCACCAGAACTGGGAATTAGTAAAATAAAACAAAGTCTTCCGAGAGTGTGAGTCTTGAGAGGAATGATAAAGAGCAAAGAATGGAGAGGGGAAGAAAGTAGGGAAAAGAAAGCACCACAAATAATAAAGCAATGAAAGAAAAGGAAAGGGAGACTTCATAAATGTTGTGGAATGTTCTAATGGTCTCAAATACCCGGAAGTCTATGAAAACATTTATAACAGATATTAAAATCAGTCATTCTGCAATTTAAAAATACTTACCACAACCCACTATCAATATCATAGGTCCAAATTTCATCATTAGGCAAATATACTTCATTGTCTTCAATAGACTAAAAATACAGAATACATAAAATGATGTTTAACAATTACACAGTAACAAATAGTTCCTCAGGGTAAGAAAAATCGCAATTAAAAACAAAACACAAAATGAGGTTCAAAGATTTTTTTCAATATAAAATAAAATAGATCAAAAGAGAAGGGAAAAAATACTTTTCTGAAACTGGGAAAACAATGAAGGTTTATAATAAAAAATAGTAAGCATATGAGTCTCAAGAAAAAGACTTTAGGGCAGTTAAAACTTAAAATTTGGTTTTGAGTAAGAGAAAATAGCAAAACAATAAGATTTAAGGCAGAATATTAAAGATTATAAAGCCAGGAAGAAAAGGAATACCAAGAAAAGGGCAGTACACTTAGAGTCAAGGGAAGGAATTAAAGAAGGACAATTTTTAAGGATATAATTAAGAGTACAAATACCTTGGACTCACTGAACCTATTTTTTTAGTGGCTAATATATGCAAAGCTTAGTTCTAGATATTTATTCATTAATTCTAGAACATAAATCTAGTCAAAACAACTCTGAATTTGAATAATCTCTAAAGAAGCTGATAATATAAATAAAATAGTACATTCTGACATTTATGATGAAAAGAAAAACAAAAAATAGTATAAAAATCTTTTTTTTTTAAGTTTAAAAACACAGGGGTTAGCCGGCATGGTGGCTCATGCCTGTAATCCCAGCACTTTGGGAGGCAGAGGCAAGAGGATTGCCTGAGTCCAAGGGTTTGAGACCAGCCTGGGCAACTTGGCAAGACCTTGTCTCTATAAGAAATCAAAAAAGTAGCCAGGCGTGTGCCTATAGTTCCAGTTACTTGGAAGTCTCACCTAAGGCTGAGGTGGCTGTGCCACTGCACTCCAGCCTGGGCATCAGAGTGAGACTCTGATTCAAAAAACAAAACAAAACAAAACACATGGGGTTAAAAACAATCCTTTACATAAATCTCTCATGATTTCTTAGATTCTATAAAATAATTAAAAAATAGCTAGAGATTTAAGATACTTCAAGAATTTCTAAAACTATAAAATGCATAAATCATTAACATGTTAAGTAGATTTAGCTGTTTCTCATTGTTATGCTACTTAAATTTAAAAATAAGCCAGCACAGGTGCTCACGCCTATAATTCTAGTACTTTGGGAGGCCAATGCAGGAATATCGCTTGAGGCCAGGAGTTTGAAACCAGCCTGAGGAACAGAGCAAGATCTCATCTCAAAAAACAAAATAAAATAATTAGCTGGGCATGATGGTGCACATTTGTAGTCCTAGCTTACTTGGGAGGCTGAGGCAGGAGGACTGGATCACTTGAGCCCAGAAGTTTGAGGCTGCAGTGAGCTACGATTGTGCCACTGCACCTTAGCCTGGGTAACAGAGAAAGATCCTGTCTCAAAAAAAAAAAAAAAAGTATCTTGATTACCAGAAATCTGTCTCTCTGACACACACCAGAAATATCTTTGTCTCTCTGACACACGGACACACACACACACACACACACACACACACACACACACACACACACACACATGCACGTGCACACAAAATAGAAAACTATTGAAACAATTGAATTAGTTTTAAGAAAACTAAACTTTCACTCACTTCTGACTGAGGAATCCATATCGGATGGCTAATTAAACAAAAAATTATAAGAAGGGGAGTTAATTGTATGATCCTAAGGTTTAATGACACCAGGTTCCAAGAAGCTTCATGTATATACCTTTATAAAAGAAATATTATGAAAATAAATTGTCATCATTCTGTTTAAGTTCCCTTCTGCTCTTAGCACATATAAAAAGATTCTGGGCTGGGCTTGGTGGCTTAGACTGTAATCCCAGCACTTTGGGAGGCCAAGGTGAGTGAATTGCCTGAGCCCGCAGGTTTGAGACCCACCTGGGCAACTTGGCGAGACACTGTCTGCACAATAAATCAAAAATTAGCTGGATGTGGTAGCGTGCGCCTTGTAATTCTGGCTATTTGGAAGGCTGAGGTGGAAGGATCACCGGAGTCCAGCAGGTCAACACTGGGGTGGCCAGGAGCGAGCCACTGCAATCCAGTCTGGGCAACAGAGTGAGACTCCAACTCAAACAACAAAAAAAGATTCTGTAATGGCTGGGCACAGTGGTTCACGCCTATAATCCTAGCACTTTGGGAGGCCGAGGTGAGAGGAATGAATGCCTGAGCCCACGGGTTTGTGATCAGCCTGGGCAACTTGGCGAGACTGCATCTCTACAATGAATCAAAAAATTAGCTGGGCTTGGTGGCATTTGCCTGTAGTTCCAGCTACTTGGAATGCTGATGTGGAAGAATCACCTGAGCCTGGCAGACCGAGGCTGCGGTGGCCCTGAGCTTGCCACTGTACTCCAGCCTGGGAGACAGAGTGAGACTCTAACTCAAAAAAAAAAAATTCTGTACTATAATAGATACTGATGATTCTGTACTACATGGTACCCACTATCCCTTGAAACTTCACCTTGCCTTTGCACATTACGCTCTAAGCTTCCTTCAGTTTCTAAACATCTCCAAGTTCCTTGCTGCAATAGGACCATTCATATGTTCTCTTTTCTCCTTTTGCAATGCTCTTTCAGAATTTGCCTAATTACTCACTCTTTGGGAATCAGTTTAAATGTACTTCAACTTCTTGTCTGTGTAAAATAGTTTAAGGATGGCTGGGCACAGTGGTTCATGCCTATAATCTGAGCACTTTGGGAGGTTGAGGTGGGAGGATTGCTTGAGCCCAGAAATACGAGAACAGCCTATGCAACATACCAAGACCTCATCTCTACTAAAAAAATTTTTAAAATTAGCTGAATATGGTGGTGTACACCTGCAGTCCCAGCTACTCAGGAGGCTAAGACAGGAGAATCGCTTGAGCCTAAGGGGTAATGGCTGTGGTGAGCTGTGATCACGCACTACAGCTAGGGTGACAGAAAGAAACTCCGACTCAAAAACAAACACTGTCATCCACAAAATAAGTACCAGGCTCAGATGACTTTTACCAATGAGTTCTACCAGACAGCTGAAGAACAAATAATCCATATAAAAACTACTCCAGAATACAAAAGAAACACTACCCAATTCACTTATGACCATAGATGTATAAATCCTAAAAAATAATTAGCAGAGATAATTAGGAATATATAAAAAATATACTACAGCCGGGCTCGGTGGCTCAGCCTGTAATCCCGTGCCTTTGGGAGGCTGAGGTGAATGGATTGCCTGAGCCCGCGGGTTCGAGACCTGCCTGGGCAGCGAGACCTCATCTCTACAATAAATCAAAAA